CCTCATCTCGGAGTGGAGGACTAATGCCGCCCCATCCTCGCTGCTACACCTGTGTGGCAGAGGGAGCACCGTCTGCTCTCCTTCAGCGGTGCCACCAGGGCTTAAGGAGGGGTTCATCTGTGCACCTGCCCCCTCTCGATAGACTTGGGTATATCCTGTCAGCTGGGTGCAGGGTCATGCAGGGTGGGGAATGGAGCAAGGGCGCAGCCTCAGCACCTTCCACAGCCTGTGCCTCTGAGACATTAAGCCCCAGTGTCCAGAATGAACATTATTGTCATAAATAGGAAATAAAACAACACAGAGCTTGGAACTCAATGCCATTAGACTTGACAATCCTATGTTTGCCAAGGATGGTTTTTACATTCAGATTTAACCACATTGGGCTGTGAATATATTTATTGAGGTTTGAATAGAGGAAAATAGACACAGAAAAAAATGACTTTTATACACTATCTCATGCTATCAATAGAAATAATTTTAATTCAATTAATTAACAATAATAAGATGGAGAAAATGGGCTAATTTTGTGTGGGAACATGTGTTAAGTTTTTTATATGCTATATGCACTTGTGTGTATCAGTAGCATCTGTGCATTTTATTCTGCTTAAAGTTGCTCTTACATTCTTTGATCTGTGATATTTACATCTTTCATGAAGTTTAAAAATACTCTTCTAGACATTGGCCTAGGCAAAGAATTTATGAAGAAGACCCCAAAGGCAATCACAACAGCAACCAAAATAAACAAATGGGACCTAATGAAATTTAAAAGCTTCTGCACAACCAAAGAAACTGTCAAGAGAGCAGACAACCCACAGAATGGGAGAAAATTTTTGCAAGCTACACATCTGATAAAGGGCTGAATACTAGAATCTATTTAGAACTCAGCAAGAAAAAATCAAACAACACTATCAAAAAATGGGCAAAGGACATGAACAGAAACTTCTCAAAAGAAGACAGAATAATGGCCAACAAACATGAAAAAATGTTCAACATCTCTAATCATCAGGGAAATGCAAATCAATTAGAATTAGAATTTTCATTCCAAAAATGCCCGGTGTGATGCTTTATACTCCACAAGTATGGTTTAAAGGCACAAGGTCATGACCCTTGTCATAGCAGTTGAATGTGCATTGAAATATTTTTCTATGATTTTTTTAAAAAATTACAATAGAAAAGTAAGCTGTTGTAACATGGTAAGGTCATGACAAGTTTTGTATTGATATTTGAAATCAGATTTCTGTAACTTGTATTTGTATACAGAATTCTCAGTGGGTTTATATATTGTGAAATTTTTATCCAAGATTGAGATGTGGATTATGCTTAATAGTAAAAGCTGAAATGAGATCATTTACTTTGTTTAAAATGCTATAATGTGTAAGTTTGGAAATGTACATTAATTTACTGTATATAATATCATGAGTTTGTTTATACCTCTAAGATTTTACACTGAAGATAAACTAGCTTTAATTAAATCCAAACTTTTTTTTCTTTGTAAGGGAATAAGCTGTTGGGCTAAATCTGCATAAATGTGCCTTTTATTTTCTGAATGCACAATGAGAGTTCACACTTGTATCTTACTGAATCATATCTGATTGCAGACATTAAAGCACAATTTACAAGCAAAAAAAAACAAAAAACAATGAGATATCACTTAACTCCAGTAAGAATGGCCTTTATCAAAAAGTCCCCAAACAACAAATGCTGAAATGCTGGCATGGATGCGGAGAGAGAGGAACACTCCTACACTGCTGGTGGGACTGCAAACTAGTTCAACCTCTGTGGAAAGCAATATGGAGATACCTCAAAGCAATACAAGTAGATCTACCATTTGATCCAGCAATTCCACTACTGGGCATCTACCCAAAAGATCAAAAGTCACTTTATGAAAAAGACACCTGCACTCAAATGTTTATAGCAGCACAATTCACAATTGCAAAGCTATGAAAACAACTCGAGTGCCCATCAATTGATGAGTGGATTAATAAAATGTGGTATATGTATACCATGGAATACTACTCAACTTAAAGAAATAATGGTGATATAGAACCTCTTGTATATTCCTGGATACAGCTGGAACCCATTCTACTAAGTGAAGTATCTCAAGAATGGAAAAACAAGCACCACATGTGCTCATCAGCAAATTGGTATTAATAGATCAACACCTATAAGTGGACATATATAGAGTAAATTTATCGGTGTCAGGAGGTGGGAGGGGGAGGAGGGGACGGGTATATACAACCACAACGAGTAACATGTCCAATGTTTGGGAGATGGACATGCTTGAGGCTCTTACTCAAGGGCAGAGGGGGGCATGGGCAATATAAGTAACCTTGACACTTGTACCCCCATAATACGCTAAAATAATAAAAAAAATAAAAAATAAAACAAAACAAAGGAAAATTTGTGTCCATTATTTCTTCAATATTTACTTTCCATGTCTGGTCTTTCATATATTTATATGACACAATTTGATACTGATGTTTTTCTTCATTGTTCTTTTCCTTTGCATTTTGCTGTGTAGTTCCTGGCACCTACTTTTAAGTCCATGATTTCTTTTGAAAAGACACAACTCGGTTTGTTTGTCAAAGGCTTATTTGTGCTGAATTCCTTTTACATACTTGAAGCATTTATATTTGACTCTTCCTTAAAAATCCCCATGTCTCTACCTAAGTCAATTCTATTGGTTTGTCGTATTATTATGTTTCCCTTTCTATTTTAACACACTACTAATAATCACTTTATATTTCCAGTTTTATTAGTTCTAATATGTGTCGTCTATGAAGCTCATTCTGATATTTATTCATTATGACTTGATTTCCATTTGTTATAGCCCATAGTTTTGCATGTTAGTCAGACATGCTTGAATTGGTGCTTGGCATTGACTTATTATTTCATATTATGTATTTTCCCCTGCATATATCCACACCTTATGTTTCTAGGCCATTACTGTGGAAGTTTGCGTGACTCTAGTCAGATTTGCATTTGGAATTTATTGTTGAAGTGGTTCCAAATTTTGAAGGTTTTCTGTGCTATGAGCACCAAAGGGTTTAGAAACTTCCAATGATACATAGTATGTGTTTCTTGCCTGGCTTTATGGTTACACCCCATATTCTGAGACAATCTATTTGTGCTTGCCCAGGTTAGTCTCAATTTTGCATAACCTGACAGTGGTTGATGTGGTGGAAGAGGTGGACCTGAGGCGGCCTTTTCTGACTTCCTGCCTGAGCCAGGTTCCTAGGCAGGTATCGTGCCCCTTGGTCTGCACTGTGCCCTTGCATGTTGTCCTGTCCCTCCACAAGAAGTTACCCTTGTAGGCAAGGCTGCCCTTGTAACCTTCTCAGTGCCTTTTTTTTCCAGGTTCTCCCAAAACTCGGGAATTTCTCCATTAGCCTCTCAGCTTAATTGCTGGTGTCCTGAAGATCAAGCCTGTGTTTCCATGATGGAGAGGAGTCGTGTTTCTGAGCATAACTTTGGTGGTGATATCTCTCCCACTCCCATCTCCTGTGAGGTTTCCCAGTGGGCTAGGACACTGATTTCTGCCTCTTGTCCCCTGAATGGTAATTTATAGATCTGTAGGAGACAGGAGAGGTGGGTCTGAATGCATTTCAGAAACATGCTCTCCTTCTCTCTTGGACAGAACCATCTGTGAGGGTGCCACCTTATGATGTGTCCCCAACCTGGAGGAAGAAGCTTCAGAGGGAATAGAATAGGAATTCCCCAATTATGTGACCACTGAAAAATTTAAACTGTAATCCCCATGTCAAACCCAGCTTAAGCAATCTAACATCTATGTCTAGTATAGTCTTATCCTAGCTCATATGACATCTGGTGGACTGTGCCTATAAGCTAATGCTCTGGTCCTGTTTCTCCCTGCAAGTACTGGTCTCTCTGCAGATTTCCGGTTTTCTGTTGGTCATATAACTTCTGCTCTTTGAAATATTAAGTAAAATGTGCTAATCTACAGCTTCTGCAATCATGCTTCATAGATGGTGATGATGTTGCTATTGTTGTGGTTGATGTAAGAAGAGCTTTTTCTCAGCTGTCTACTTCTCCCAGGTGAAGAAAAGCTTTATACTTAATACAAAGGAATTAGAAACAATCAAAATATTAACCAGTAGCTTAACAAATAAGCATATTTAAATGATTCATTAGAACACTACCCATATTTAACAAGAACTAATGTGTCACACACACTACAACATGGTTGCATCCACAAGTATGCATAGGGAGTAAATAAGCAAAAAAAAAAAAAAAAAAAACAACAACAACTCCTTCTACATGATTTCACTTTTATAAATCTGGAAAGTGAAAACTAACGTAAAGTAACATAAACTATATGAGCAGTTGCCTGTATAACTGGAGGGAGTCAGAAAGAGAAAGAAAGAAGGGGAAATTTTAAAAGAACAAGTCAGAATATGTGGGGAATTTATTTCCTTGATATCTTGAAGACAGTGGTGGTGCTGTCAGCATCTTTCACTTGCACACTTTAACTATGTTAAGGCCACTGTTTTTCAACTATGCCTCACTAGAATTAATATGAACAGTTAAATAGATTAGTTGGTAGGAACAGCTTAATGGACAAATAGGTAAGAATAAGTGAAACTTTAGGTACTTGGAAATGCATCTGCATTGACATTATGTTTCAAATTTTGTATATATTATATAAGGAAGCTAAATTTTGCTTTATGCTCTTATCAAGAATGAAAATTCTAGAAACCACCATAGGCATGTTGAGCTCTGGTCTGAGGAAGGTTCCAAGGATGAGATCATAGGCCAGACCAGAGATTAGTTCTTCTAGGATATGTTTCCTGGACGTATGACAAAACCTATGTATGCTTCTTGGGTAATTTTACATGTGTAAAATGTATGGAAACTTGATACCTGCAACACACGGTTTATGTGTGCTTATAAATTAGATAAACCAGTACAACTTAATATTAATCACTGCACCATCACACAGCTTTTCTCTGGGCCCTGACCTCATTCAAAGACTCAACCTAGAGCTTGCTATATAACAGGGGACATGCAAATAAGGCCCTCTCTCTGCTGATGAAAACCAGCCCAGCCCTCACCCTGCAGCTCTGGGAGAGGAGCCCCAGCCCCAGCAATCTCAGGTGTCCCCATTTGGTGATCAGGACTGAACACAGAGACACCATGGAGTCTGGGCTCTGCTGGGTTTTTCTTGTTGCTCTATTACAAGGTAATTCATAGAGAACTAGATACAATGAGTGTGTGAGTGGATATGAGTGAAAGAAACAGCACGTGTGTGTGGCATTTTCTGACCAGAATATGTCTGTGTTTGCAGGTGTCCAGTGTGAGGTGCAGCTGGTGGAGTCTGGGGGAGGCCTGGTCCAGCCTGGGGGGTCCCTGAGACTCTCCTGTGCAGCCTCTGGATTCACCTTTGATGACTATGGCATGAACTGGGTCCGCCAGGCTCCAGGGAAGGGGCTGGAGTGGGTCTCTTATATTAGCTGGAATGGTGGTAGCACATACTACGCAGACGCTGTGAAGGGCCGGTTCACCATCTCCAGAGACAACAGCAAGAACATGCTGTATCTGCAAATGAACAGTCTGAGAGCCCAGGACACGGCCGTGTACTACTGTGCAAGAGACACAGTGAAGGGATGCCATTGTGAACCCAGACACAAACCTCCTGTGGGATCTCGCAGGGCCACCAGGGGGCAGGCAGGAGACAGGAAGAAGAGTCAGCCAAGGGCAAGTGCTGATGAAGGTTAATGTCAGATGCACAGGAGGTAAAGGTCAGCTTTCCATGGATAGTCTAAGTCTCCCTCTGCATCTTACAGTTTCCCCTGGAAACCTGTCTACATTTAAAATTCTGTGCCTACCAATGATATCTGTGAACTTGAAAAGATTCTTATATGAGGAGAAATCATTCTCACATGCCACCAAAATATTTACCATTCATGCAGGCAGAAAAATGCACAGAAGTTGGGTGAGGTTGTGGAAACTGTCTGCCCAGGATGCAAGTGTGACATCCAGTGATGGAGAAAAGGGGGGGGGGGCGCTAGTGGAACTTCCTGATTACACTGTAGTCCAAGGAAAGTGTAACAGAACCATCCATGCCTGTGTGACCTTACGTTGCCCTTATTAGGACCACCGGGTCTCCCAGCCATGACTGTTACTTAGGGTCCTGCCACGCTGTGTCATCACCTGGAAGTGGCCCACACAGGTCGTGGGTCTTTAGCACAAACCAGAGGGTGGATGGTGGAGAGTGGCAGCAGGGTGCTTGCTCCTGGACAGCACATAGGTGGAGACAGAAGGGTAAATCCTCAGGGCGCACGCACTGCTCTTAGATTTTATAAAAGATAATATGTTTTTGTTTTTGTTTTTGAGACAGAGTCTCACTTTGTTTCCCAGGCTAGAGTGAGTGCCATGGTGTCAGCCTAGCTCACAGCAACCTCAAACTTCTGGGCTCAAACAACCCTGTTGCCTCAGCCTCCCAAGTAGCTGGGACTCCAGGCATACGCCACCATGCCTGGCTAATTTTTTCTATATATATTAGTTGGCCAATTAATTCCTTTCTATTTATAGTAGAGACGAGGTTTCACTCTTGCTATGGCTGGTTTCAAACTCCTGACCTTGAGCAATCCACCGACCTCAGCCTCCAAGAGTGCTAGGATTACAGGCAAGAGACACCGCGCCCGGCCAATAATATGGTTTTACATGAACCTCTCAGATGATATATAAAAGCAAGCATTTAGTCTGTAAACAATTATAATTTCCATATCTGCTTTTTTATGCTTAAATTTTTCCTTAAATTTCTCTTTGCTCAATGTTTCCATTCACAGGAGGAATTGTTATCTGTAGTGTGAACAACTGGTTCTCATATCCAGTGGTTTCTGTCCATGTGCAGAGATCTCAGGTAATTTGGTAATTTCCAGATACAAGCCTTCCCCTCACCCAGAGAGAGCGCAGAGATCTCTCTGACTGTTGAGTCAGAGGGGGAGCTGTCCCTGCAGGCTGCAGAGTCTGCAAAGACCCAAGAATAGCTTTGTGCAGTCACACACTTCCCACGTGGAGGGAGTTCAACACCCCTACTCCAGTGGAAGTGACTCAGATGTAACTGTGGGGTTCAGAATTAGGATAATTAGATTTTATTTGGAATATTTACTCATACATGATAGGGTGATAATTCAATGCTTCTTCTTCTGACATTCTTTTTTATTTCTTATATGATCACATGTTTGGGGAGCATAAAGTATTGTCATATGTTTGCCTGAATTGAGCCTCAAAGTCTATGGAAATATTCTAGGAAACTCAGAGGTTAAAGAAAAGTGGGTTTTCCCTTCTTACCAACATGTGAATGTTTGGAAATTTCACTGCATTGCCCAGAGCCCTGTGGACACCAACAACTTCAGTTCTCGGTGCACATCCTGATCCTGAGATAAGGAACCTACCTGTGCCCTGGGGACAACCTTGACCAATGTCAGAGCTGCCATCTCTCATTTCTTTGGTATTATGGTGGAATCATTCATAATGTTTTCTCTTTTCTTTCTGATGTTATTTATTTGACTAGTTTCTCCTTTTCTCCCAGTCTAGCTGAGTGTTTCGCATTTTTCATGTTTCAAAAGGAGGAAAACATCAGTGATTTGTTGATATTTCTAGTGTTTTGTTTCTTATGTCATTTATTTCTCTCTTTGGCATTAAAGGCTCATGGACACATTAATGAGAACTACATTGAGCTGTTGCTTTTAACCCCACATTGTTCACAGACTCAGCGAAATATGGAAGTGTGTCTGTCTTTGCAGCAGACTGTGGAGTTGATGTGGCTCTCACCGCATGACCAGTATGAGACTCTCTGGTCATCGAGGGAAGCACAGGCAGGGTGGTGTGAGGTGAGGGGGGCTTCTGTGAGGTCCAGGGTTTCCTCTCCCAGGAACACCCATCTTCTCCTTCCTCACTCTCATATTCAGTCATATCCATCAGGCTGAGGAAAAAGTTAATCTCTCTTTGATGTAGGGATGGAGGCCCAGGAAGGAGACTTGTCAAACCTCCATTCTGCAGATGCTCTCTTGGAGAATGTGCTTGTTTCTTCCCCTCTGTCCTGAGACTACAACCAGACATCTCCCCTATTCCCTGCACCCCACACAGACTCTTCATGGCCTCTGCCCCACACCCTGAAATGTGGCACCTGCCGCTTTGGCTTCTGGAGAACTCCTCTGCCATAGTTGACCTCCTGCCTCTGGTCTGCCCTCTAGTTCCTGCACAGGGTCAAAGCATCACTTCCCATCCATGTTGCGCCCAAATAAGTACTGACTTTAAATATCTCTTCACTCTCTATTTTATTCCGAGTCATGAGTTTCATTCTTGCAACCCTTTGACATCTCACATGGACTCACATGCAGGAAAGGGTTAACTCAGCAGGACTGTACTGTCCAAACCATGTGCATTCCTGAAAAAGTCCATTCTGGGAACTCAGCCATGGTCAGCTCCTGAGAGATCAGTTCTGATCCCTTGGCATACTGCCCCTGATAATAGCATTTTTAAATCAACATTATCAAGGTGTGCTTTACATGTAAATACTCTACAATATTAAACTTCTAGAACTGAATGAGTTTGGGTGTATGTTCACACCTAACCAACACCAGGACATAAATATATCCATCACCTCCCAAGTTTCCCTCCCTTAGGGCCTAATATTATTTTATTATTATTATTATTATCATCATTTATCTTTTTTTAACATTTGTTGTGTGGGGTGAATACACTGCATAACTTGGCCACATAGTGTTTATAGTGAATGGCCAGTGTTTATAGTGAATGCCAGTTCACGCCCTGGGGGTTGGTGTTAAGAAGTGGAGGTCAGTTATTCAGGTGCTGTGACACCTGGGACTGACCCAGTGAGCAGCACAGGGCACCAAGGTTCAGGTGAGCTTCCCTGAGTACAGCCCCTCACACATGTCATCAGATGTCACTGTTGGGAAAATTGAAGGTGAACAAGAGACTAAACTGGGAGAGCACACCTGGACACTTGCACCTGTTTTCTCAGGGAGTTAACTTCTACACCTTTGCTGATTTTAATTCATATCATTTTCTGTAATAAACTGAAAAAGAGTATAACATCTTATGTTAAGACCTGTATTTATATAGGTCATAGAGTATGAAGTGATCTTGAAAGACTCAACATAATTACAACAGAAGTGGATTTGCCAGAAAATGCTGCTCTGTTGGCACACAGCTAAAGCATTGCTTAGCAAAGTGAAGGATGACAAGCTGGGGGTTTGAAAATTTGATGGCTGCATGCTCAGAGAGTCACATGGTGTGAGGCAGCATGTGTGCTCCAATAAGTCATAAGAGGTAAAAATTATGAATGGCGGGTATGAAAGGCAGATAAACACTGTAGGAGTTCATTTCAGAAACACTAGGACAATGTAGAGATAATCAGAAATAATCTAAATATACAATCTGTATATGTACTAATGATAAACTGAAATAAATGTGATAAACTTGCTGTCAATCCTGACCCTGCACACACTGAGCTGTGTCTACAAGGCTCCGATCCACCATCTAGATGAGCAATTGTTCTGCAGAACACTACTGTGGTCCACAGTGTCAAAGAAGGTTGTCCATGTGTAGGGCAGGGGAGGGAAAACCACTAAAGTACTTAAATCCATGAAAGTACTTAATGCATGAAAGAGTTGCATCATTCTGTGACGTTATTCATGTCATTAATTGACCTCCTCAGGTTCCTGAGCAATATTTACTAAGGGACTACAAGAGTGACAAACTTGGTAGAATCTCCTTGGCTTTGTGCCTCACAAGACTCAGGAGGCGTTTGTGTGGACGGTGCACTGACATCTTACAATAGGGCCATCATGGCTGGGTGCAGGTGATCCCAACACATCACACATTGTTCCTGGTGGGATAACTAACCTAGTACAGGAGATAACAGACTGTTGACCCTGTAAGGTAAGGTACTTCCTTTGAAGAGCAAAGTGAACTCTCCAGATGAACTGATTCTATGTACCCAAGTCATGCTGATGTGGCTTTATAGAGTTTGGCTTTGCATCACATGTTATGCACACAGCACAGGCCATGGGAGAAGGCTGGGGCAAATGAAGGCTGTTTTGGTTCAGCACTCCAGTTGTCCCTACTGCACAAGATTTGGGAAATACCTTAGAATCTCTGTTGGTTTTTCTTCCCCCTCAGAGTTCCCTTTGGATGTCGGAGACACTAAGTATGGGAGGGCGGATACAAAGGAGAATGGAACAGATGCAGGGGAGAAGGAAGGGACTCATCCCAGCAAGGTGGGGCTCTTTACATGGTTACTAGGAAAGCAGGTGGCTGAAGAGGACAGTGATGGGTCTACACAAATACATAAAGCAGGACCATGAGATGTTGGGTGGAGCAATGGTAATCCCTGCAAGTCTGCTGACATCAGAAACCTAAGCGTATGTTCCCTGATCATGCTTGTTTGCAGGAATGTGGAAATGCAGGAGACAAGATGAATTTAACAACTTGCCCTGAATGCCATGAGTGTTGGTCTTGCAAATCAGCAAAGTGAGAATGATTGGAGGGCTGGAACAACTGTCCTCACCCCCAGCTGGGTGCCCAGGCCCTGATCAAGGTCATGTGCAAAATGCTAGTTGGTGAAGAAGAGTGACAGTTCTTGTTCTGTGGCATTTATGCATGAACTCCTCACTTCACAATCTCTCCAGGCTGCATTCTATAGGTTGTTTTTTTTTTTTCCCCCCATATGTGACTCGATTTAGATTTTGACAGCCTTCTTCACAGGGTACAGAGAAGGGTCAGTGAGATGGAGCCCCAATCAAGGTCCTGGGGTCACCTGAACCAGCCTGTATGGGGAGACAGTGAGATTATTGGGACCTTTTCCAGCCTTTCCAGGGAGGTTCAGTTCAACCCCCTGCTGCCCTAGTGGTGCTGGGCTGTGCACCCTGGGAGTCACCCGTGCAGAGCAGGGCAGGAAAGATGCAAACTCAAGTGGGGAACATCCCGGTTAAACCCACTGCACAGTGCATATCCCTCAGCACTCAGCTGGGGTCTTTATAGCCACCCATTCTGTCCTCCACGATGGGGTCAGCCACCGTCATTGCCCCTCTCCTGGGTGTACATGAAGGTCATACCCAGCCCAAGAATTGGATCCCACAGAGAGTGGGATTGCCAGAGCCCCTGATCTGAGTCTCGCATCTTCCACATGGTGTCTGCACCCAGGTTCAGCTGGTGCAGCAGGTGCAGTCTGTGCAGAGGTGAAAAGGCCTGGGGAGTCCCTGACAATCTCCTGTAAGGCACCTGGCTACAGCTTTGTCAGCTACCGCATCAGCTGTCTGTGCCAGGTGCCTGGGAAGGACCTGGAGTGGGTGGGGATGATCTGTTCTAGTAACTTAGATACCCACTGCAGCCCTTCCATCCAAGGTCATGTCACCATCTCCATCGGCACTGCCAAGCTGCAGTGGAGCATCCTGAAGGTCTTGGACGTGCCTGTGCTCTGTTATGTGAGACACAGTGTGGGGACATCGATGGAGTTCAGGGGCAAATCTCCCCACAGGGGTGCCAAGACCCACTGCACACAGTCAGTCCAGGGCAGGTGCAGGTGGAGGGTAAGGGCTGGATTCCTGTTGGCATTGTGGATTTCTCTCCATAACGGTTTACTCTTGGGAACTTCTCTGAGTTCACCATTCTGGGCTTCCCTCTGCAGTCTCTGAGTTAGATATTTTCATGGTGATGAGAGAAAATATTCCCACCTGCTCAAAAGGCAGAGAGTGGCTTCCACTTACTTTTTCCAGCCCCAAATGTACATTAATTATCAGCACTTCTGAATAAATCTGAAAATTGATAACAGATTTTTCTCTTGCACAGCACAATGCAGCACAACACACAGGAGCCGGCAAGCAGGACACAGGGACCACAGGACGTCAGAGGCAGACGCCCACCCCCAGCTGCAGAATGGGGCTCATTTCCCAGCTCAGGAGAAGGTGTGGAGGGAAACTGAGGTTTCCTTTCAGACCCTGGAGTTTGCTGTCTTTCCCTTTTACTCTTCTTCCTCAGGAGTCCTGGATTTTTTCCTCATAATGCCCTGGCTTCATTTATCTGTAATGGGATGACTTAGGAACAGAATTATATCCAAAATTAAGCTTTAATTCTTTTCACTTTTATGATATCCATAAACTTTCAGTAAAATATCTGGAGTATGAAATCACCAACCTGCCATCCACACCATAGTAACATGGTTGGCTTTCTGCTTCCTATGCTGTGTTGGTCATTGAGGAGAAAACACTTCTCTGCAGATGCTGTATGTTCTGGGAGTTTGTTTAGCCCCTGCCTTTTACCTACCTTGTGTGGAGAAGAACCACCATTTCAGTGTGTTCTCCCCTCCACCTGGCTACTAGTTGTCCAACCTGAGACAGTTTCTCCTCCTCACTGTTCTATCGAAGCTCCTGGTCTCCTGGATATCCACACAACAGGACAGCAGGTCCGTTTGTCTCTCCTTACTCCTGGTGATTCAGCTCCTTCTCCTCATTCTCACTGAAGTCAGACGTGTTCCTGCAGCTGATGATGCTCCCCACAACACCCTGGGATGGCAGCACCCCACCTCTGACTCTGGTCTCTCAAGTGGAGGACTAATACTGCCCCGTACACCTGCTTCTCCTGTGTGGCAGAGTGAGCACCATGTGTTATCCCTGGGGGTGCATGCCAGGGGCTGCTCAGGTGCTCATAACTGTGTACCTGCATCCTGTGGATAGACTTGGGTATATCCTGTCAGCCAGGTGCAGGGCTCCTTCCATGGTGAGAGGTGGGACCAAGGGCCCTGCCTCAGTGTCTCCTACAGCCTGGGGTATGAAAACTCTTGGTAAGCCCTAGTGTTTAGAAAGGTGGTTATTGTCATGGTAAGTAAACTAACACAGAGCTTAGAACTCAATGACACCATACTTTCCAATCCAATGTTTGTGACGAATGGAATTTTCATTCAGATTTTAACAAAAAGTTATGTTTAAATATATGCGTTTATTGGTGTTGGAATAGATGGACATACACATAGAAGAATAATATTGGAATGTCTATCTCATGCTACAAATAGAACTAAATTTAATTCAGTTAATTAAAATAATAAGATAGAGGAAATGGGTGTCTCCTGAGTGGACATAAGTGTTAGTTTTTGCATATACACAAGTATTTATCAGCAGCAGGTGTGTATGTTTGGTTTCTCCTACTTCAAATTGCTCTTACATTTTTGGATCTGTGATTTTATATCTGTCATTCAGTTTAGAACATTTGTGACGATTTTTTGTTCAATACATTTTTCCATATCTGGTCTTTTACTTCTATGTTTGGGATTTCAATCACATTTATATGACAGTATTTGGTACTGATATCCTTTTGTCTTCATGATTCTTCTCCTTTGCATTTTGCTGGTGTAGTTCCTTGCACCTATTTTCAGCTTCATGATTTATTTTGAAAAATGAGACAAATCAGCTGGTTTATTTGTCTAAGGCCTATTGGTACTGAATTATTCTTGAATAATCAATGCCTTTCCAATTCACTCTTCCTTACAATCCCGATTAGTCTACCTAAGTTAGTATAATTATGTTCCCTTCAATATTTTAACACCTTAATAATACATACTCCTTTTGCATTTCCTAATTAAGACAGTTCTAATATATGTTACATCCAAACCTCACTGTCATAATTTCTCCATTATGAGTTTGGCTTTCGATTTGGGACACCCCATAATTTTTCCTGACTGCCAGACATGCTTGTTTAATGGTTGCCATTGACTTAGTATTTCATTTCATGTACTTTGTGTCCTGTATACATCCACACCTTATGTTTTCCAGGCCTGTGCTGTGGAAGTTGTGTAACGCTAGTCAGACTTCCATTTGGAATTTATTATTGAAGTGGCTCCAAGTTTTGAAGGTTTTCTGTGCTATGAGCACCAATGGGTTTAGAAACCTCCACTGATACATAGTATGTGTTTCCTGCCTAGCTTACTATTTACACCGCATATTCTAGAGACGATCTATTTGTGCTTGCCCAGGTTAGTGTCGATTTTGCATTTATTTACCTGACACTTGTTGACATGATGATAGAGGTTGACCTGATGTAGCCTTCTCTGACTTCCTCCCTGAGCCAGGTTCCTAGGCAGGCATCATGCACCTTGGTCTTCACTGTGCCAGTGCGTGTTGTCCTGTCCCTCTATAAGAGGTGACGCTGCCTTCGAACTCTTCTCAGTATCTTTCTTTTCCTGATTCTCCCACAGCTCAGGCAATTCTCCATCAGCCTCTTCAGCTTCCAGATTTGCTGTCTGTCCCTGAAGATCAAGCCTTTGTTCCCGTGATGGAGAGGAGTCATGTTTTTGAGCATAACTTTGGTGGTGACATCTCTTCCACTCCCATTTCTTGCCTCACTTCCCAGTGGGCTAGTACACTGATTTCTAACTCTTGTCTCTTGAAGGGTAATTCTATAGATCTACAGGCAACAGAGGAGGTGGGTATGGATGCTTTTCAGAAACCTGTTCTCCCTCGCTCTCAGACAGAACCATCTGTGAGGGCACCAACTTATCATGTCTCCCCAATCCTGGAGGAAATCACCTAAAGGAAATAGAACAGCAATTTCCCAAACATGTGACCCCTGAAAAATTTAAAATGTAATCCCTTTATTAAATCTAACTTTCAGCAATCCAATGCCCATGTCCAGTACAGTCTTGTCCTAGCCCACGTGCTATCTGGAGGACTGTGCCAATAAGCTAATGTTCTGGTCCTGGTTCTCCCCTCAAGTACTGGCCTCTCTGGAAACTTCAAGGTTGCTGTTTGTCATATAACTTCAATTACCTGAAATATTAAATGAAATTTGCTCATCTTCAGCTTCTGCAGTCATGCTTTATAGATGGTGATGATGTTACTATTGTTTTGTTTGATGTAAGAAGAAGAGATTTTTCTCAGCTGCCTCTTTCTCCCAGGTGAAGAGAAGCTATATCCATAATAGTAAGGAATTGAAAACAATCACAACATTAACCAGTAGCTTAAAACACAAGTATTTTTTTAAATGATCCATTAGAACACTACCCATCATGGAAAACAATGACATTTTCATGCACACTGCAGCGTGGCTGCATCCACAGTAAGCACTGTGAGTAAAAGAAGCAAAAAACATCTGATACATGATTCCACTATTGTAAATTCTAGAGAGTGCAAACCGAAGTAACATAAACCATATTAGCAGTTGTCTGGGTAAGTGGAGGGAGAGGGAAGTAGAAAGAAGGAGGAATTTTAGAAGGACAACTGTAAACATTGGGGGAACTTAATATCCACAATATCACAGACATGGCAACGGTGATGTCAGCATCTTTCACTTGTACACTTTAACTATGTTAAGGCCACTGTATATCAACTATGCCTCATTAAAGTTTATATGAACACGTAGTAGATGATTTGCTGGAGAAGAAGTGGTGAAAAATGGATAATAAGTCAAAAATTAGGTACTTGAAAATACACCTGCATTCAGCCTCTCTGTTTCATGTTTTATATATTTTTAAGAAAAAAAAATAAAGGCAAGAAATTTGTTTTACACTGTTATTATAGAATCGGGGTTCTAGAAACCACCATGGGAATGTCGAGCTCTGCTATGCAGTGGGTTCCAAGGATGGCATCATAGGCCAGACATTGAGAAGAATTCTTCCCAGGTATGTGTTCCTGGACATATCTCACAACTTCTATAAGTGTCTAGGATACGTTTACATCCATAAAATACATGGAAACTTCACACCTACAGTACATGTTTTATATGTGTTTGCAAACTACATAAGTAAAGAGGACTTAATTATTTCTTACAGTAAAGTCACAGAGTTTTCTCTGGGCCCAGTCCTCTCCTCAGAAATCCCCACCCAAAGTGTGCTATATAGCAGGGGACATGCAAATAGGGCCCTCCCTCTGCCAATAAAAACCAGCCCAGCCCTCTCCCTGCAGCTCTGGGAGAGGAGCCCCAGCCACGGCATTCCCAGGTGTCCCCATTCGTTGATCAGGACTGAACACAGAGACTCACCATGGAGTCTGGGCTGTGCTGGGTTTTCCTTGTTGCTCTGTTAAAAGGTAATTCATGGTGAACTAGAGACATTGAGTGTGTGAGTGGATATGAGTGAGAGAAACAATAGGTGTGTGTGGCAGGTTCTGACCAGGATGTGTCTGTGTTTGCAGGTGTCCAGTGTGAGGTGCAGCTGGTGGAGTCTGGGGGAGGCTTGGTCCAGCCTGGGGGTTCCCTGAGACTCTCCTGTGCAGCCTCTGGATTCACCATGGGCAGCTACCACATGCACTGGGTTCGCCAGGCTCTAGGAAAGGGGCTCAAGTAGGTGGCTGTTATATGAAGTGATGGTAGCACAGCCTATGCAGGTGCGGTGAAGGGGCGATTCACCATCTCCAGAGACAATGGCAAAAGCAAGCTCTTTCTGCAAATTAACAGTCTGCGAGCCGAGGACATGGCCCTGCACTACTGTGTGAGAGACACAGCGAGGGGACATCAGTGTGAGTCCAGAGAAAAACCTCCTGCGCAGGCACACAGTGCCACCAGGAGGGAGTATAGGACCCTGGAATCTAAGAAAGAGCTGAGGGGCTGCTGCAGGTGACCAATAATGGTTGGTTTCCTGTCAGCGTCTGTGGCTTCCTCTCTAGGAATTTCATCCTCGGACCTATCTTTCATGGCTCTCTGCTGTCACTGTAGTGTCTGAATTAGAAATGTCCTGTTGCATTGGAAGAACACACACTCACCTGCACACAAGGCAGAACATCACTCACTTGGGCAGAAATGACCCTGACTTTATCACATGGATCAGAGTCCTGAGAAATCCCAGGCAGACCTGTTGAGCATTTTCCAACCAGACTCAGCACAGAGACCTCAGCTAGACTCCCTGAGTGGGACAGTCTTTGGGATTGAGATTAGGACATACAGGGACTTGGCCCAAGGTCAGTGTCTCATAAAACCTAATGGTTTCAAGTTGTTCTCTCATCATTTAAAATTGTATGTTCCTGATGCAGAAATGATTCAGTTGTATCTGTTTCTGAAAGCCTGTTTTATTTCTCCCCATGTTCTATTTTCACATCTTCCTCTTCTCCTTCTTCCCCCAGAAAGTGGAGGATGTGGTCTCTGTGTCTAAATCCCAGGGCTCAGGCTCTTTTACCTGGAGCTCAGGTGTGGCCCAGGCTGTTGCTCCTGTGGGACCTGAGAAAGATTGATGGGACTGTCTCACCCACCATTGCTGGGACTCTCCTGCTGTCACCTGCTCATGGACTCACTTTGCAAATGCAAGTGGCAGTTAGTAGCTGAGAGAATAGGAATAATTGGTCAAAGTGGTATGTGTCCACTGAGACTCTCACAGAGTCACCTTCAACACCTGTGGCATTGGGAGGACCTGCAGATGGAAACCTCAGTGTGCTGAGCACTCTGTGGTAGCATCCAGGTACTTGTGCATGGTGTCCTTGTGGCCCCAGCACAATGACATAACACCCTGCAGTCAAGTCCCTGCTGTGTGAACTGCCGGCCCCAGATGGTCCTTTGTCCAAGAGCCTGCTTATACTCCCCCTATGCTGCTCCTGACTGCCCTCTCCTGTGCTCTCCTCTTTCCAATGGAGAGCAAAATTATTCCTTGTTTTTACTGCCATACCCATCGTTATCAAGAAGGAATCAGGTTCAACTGTTTAACAATGATTTATGTCTAAACCACATGGGATTCACAAAGGATTTCTTCCAAAATGAACTGTCTCATCATGGCAGATTCTCATGGAAAACAAGACCCTCCATCCTATGAAGAAATTTCCATTCTTGAGAAACTTTTATGTCTTCCTGGAGACACAGATGAGTCCTCATTGCAACGAGGGAAGAAATTAAATGCAGGAGATGCTTCCTGGTATTCTATGGGCCCTGCCTGTGAGATGGCTTTGGAATAAGATGGTTGAGGGTGATAACATGACAGTGTGTATCATGGCGACGTTGCCTGAGGAAGGCACAGGGCAGTGGGATGCTGCTCCTTTTGGAGTGTACCTTGTTTGTTTACAATATTTCTCTTCAATTAGGGAATAAAACAGCTTTGTTTTATGTAAGCCCAGGAGATTTCCTGCTCACACGCGCGTTCTGTTTTGAGGTGTATCCACTGCTCACAGGAAGCTGTGTGTTGCCTTGCTCGTAGACAGGGGACCAATGTCCAGCCTGCAGGAGGGACAGTGGATGATAGGGGAAAAGAAGCAGGTGTCCTCCTGGGAGACAGGATCTGCTGACTCTGTTGGCTGGTCTGCAAGGCGCCTGGGCACTGCACAGGCTTGTCCCAGATAACACGCTCTGATGGAAGGACCGTGTGTTGAGAGACCTGGAGCGAGAAGTATGCATGTAAATTGCCTAGGGGTCTCTGTGAGCCGCTTGAAAGGACAGAGCCACAACACATACGATACCTCAATTCCAACTAGAAAGAAAACGGGTCACCGCCCGCGAACGAGACATTTTCATCGAATCACCTGAACAGAAGATTACTACTACTCAAAGTGAAGGAAATGTTTGAAAACTGAACAAAGAGTATCTTTCCCCATACTCTTTTTTCATAACAAGGCGATTTTTTTAATCTGGACAACAAGATCCCAGAGTTCATGTACCCCCACCTATACACTCTATCACAGTCAAAGGTGGTCATTTTAGCAGAAACACACCACTGATTAATAACATCACAAACCTTATGAACCAGCCAAACCACATAACTGGTCACTCCATTAATACGAACCCTACTGACACGCAACTACTCAACTACTCAGTAACTACTTCCGCCCCCGGTCGGTCAGATTCTCTCTTCCCATATACACGCCTCAATACCCAAATATTATAACCAACTACTCATCTCACTACCACCTTAACGCCTGATACTCTCTGACATCAGCACCAACCTAAATATACACTGCGCCGCTGTCTACAAAGTTAACATTTTGGTACCCTGCCATCGCAAATTGTTGTTTCACATACGCGAAAGACCCTTAAGTGCTCACGTTTTAATGCTCAGCAGCACATGGTAACCCAATAACATAAAATAATAGTACTAGACACCTGAAAAAAAATAGAAACGTACTCAAAGCTGACCACTTACTAGACATACGACATCAACCACAAAGAACTCAGCAAGAAAGTAGAACAATGAACATCATCAATACCCAACAACAAACATCAGAAAGTCACTACATATTGAAATTACTAGGAGAGTACAAGATTCAATATCTAACTGACAAAGAGTGATTGACAAGTAAACAATAACAGAATAAATTCAACTATCTTCTCTGTACAGAACACACTAACTTTTAACGAACACACAGACACAAATTGAAAGCTATAGAAAAATTTCGTTGAATGGAACACCGAACACAGACCACAACAACACAAACACAGTAGAGTCAACTCAAATGTAAAAAGAAAAACGAGAACCTTGCATAATAATAATTGTAATTAATACAAACAATACAGAAACAGAAAAGAGAGAGAGAGAGAGAGAGAGAAAAACTTGAAGGATAAAAGAGTGTTTCCCGTCACAGAACAATGGACTACGAGAACAAGGTCTCATACTACGAGACAATGAAATACTAGTCAGTGGCGAGAAAAAGGAAGAAAGAAGTGAAAGAATGTGCACACAATCATTATGACAACATGCAGGAGGCAGCACTGAAAAACTGTGCACAACATTAACACAGCCAGTGAAGCGAACCTGAACGCGAGGCGCACCAGGGGCAGCAGTGCTGAGCACCAACTCAGCGCGAACGGGGAGCCCATTGCTTGGTTCCCACGAATTAGCAGGCAAGTGGCTTGTTTGCCTGGTGAAGAACCTGTCTTCTCCAGCAACACCACCAACGAACCTATGGCTTTGCGTGCAACCACCAGGTTGCTGGTACCGAAACACCGCGTGCTAGGCCACTTAGCACAAGGGTCGGGGATTGCAAGGCTCCACTTGAGCAAGTTGTTAATCCACAAGCGCACACCACGAAGAATCCTCCTTGTAGGACAGCCATGCTTTTCCTTTGGACTGGAAAAGCCAGGGTCATCTCGTCGGCAGTGGAAGTCACGTACCAAAAAGCAGCCCTGGAAAGAGCCTTGGCATGAGAAACAAATAGATTGCGGACGCTTGCCCAATCACACTATACTACGCCCGCCAGAAATGTGATGAGCCGTTTTCAGTGCGCAGCGGACTCCTCTTGTCGAATCATGTTCCTGCCTCTTTCAAGGAGCAACCAGATATGACAGGTCCAAGTGTCATGTTCATTGTATGTCATCCCCCACGTTCGTTAACCGGGCCACCTGACAGCCAGAACAGAAAGAAAGGCTGCTGATCAATATGAGTTGCTTAATACTGGAATTTCAAACAGTAAAGACAGTAAACGGCCAGAGTAAATCGGCGGTTACCACAGATGCCAGGGCGTGAAGGACCTAGTGGAGATGCATGGGCAAGATATCACAAACTCAGGTGGGATACCGTTTTGAGGTCTATTGCACGACTCGTGAATATACGCTAACTAACTTTACCGTTGTACATCCTATAATCCAATTAAGAACAGTATGCAAGACTTCTGGACCAACGCAAGAAATAAGGTTCATTAGGTCGTGGACGCGTGTTACTAGACCATTGGTGACTTCCACCACGCCATATCAGCAGTCACAGCCCACTGGCGCCCAGCACGGAACACACAGGACAAAGGGATTCACAACAACCAATAAAATCAAGAAGGAGTATGCGATTCCAGCTTCCTGGGGTGAGGGAGGCTCCCAGACCAGAAGTGACCCTGGGCAGAGTGTTAACGGGTGCAGTGACCTTGCTCTAGGTCATACTGGGAAAGCTGTGTGTGCGCTGTCACCTGCGCAGCCACCACGTGTGCACATGCGCAAACCGCAGCACATGCAGCGAACCCCACGCCCAGAGTCTCAACTACTGTGTAGAAGCTGCCAGCCCCCCATGCCAGAGGTGGCTGAGCATTGGAGCTCTGTAGCCGCCGCACGTGCGGGGGCACTGCCCAGGCAGCCGGAAGATCGCGATGGACACACGACACAGCCTGGAGCAGACTGCCAGGGACTGGTAGGACCCAGACTCTTGGTGTCCACATGGCCCCAGCTCTGAAGCAGGTCCCGGAGCACCCGGAGTGGGAACCACAGCCCAGACACGGAGCCCTGGGACTCCCGCAGTCTGTCCCACAAGGCCAGAACTCCTGGACGCTTGTCTCCATGCAGGGGCAACTGCAGGTTCGTCAGTGCGCATGGCGGTGACTCTCACTCCTGCAGGTGTCCAAGGGGGAGCGACCTCAGTGTGAGGGATGGGGGATTGCAGCCTGTCTCTGCCTGGGCAGGGGCCGGGATGCACCTGCTTAACTCTGACTCTTCTCCCTCCCTGCAGCCGGGCACCTGGCATGAACTAGTACAGGGGCCAATAAGGTCCATGGTCAGGACCAGCTTTGGGAGGAGGGGCCCTGGGAGCTCTCACACCTGCATAGATACCTCCCCAGGCACTCTCTGTGCGCACACAGACCTCTAAA